CACGGCAAGTGATTGATGCTATCTGCAAGGACATAAAGTAAGAGTATAATGGCGTAGATCTGCAGCGAAATGGGAGCTGAGCCGAATTTGAGAATGGATCTCTCTTCCTTCACTGCGAAGAATCAATTTAGGTTTAAGGGTCAGTTCACACCCGTCGCACATGCCCCGTGCGAGGTCGGGGCGACTCACGCCTCTTTTGAAGTTCGACACCACATTTTCACGCATATTTCGTGCTGAAATGGCTTATCTAGAGTGGTTGTGACCCAGGCCTTGCATGGTTGTTTTCGCCCGCGGTTGGCAGCAGGCAGGTGTGCGCAGTGCCTGCCGTCTGTCACCGATGCTGCTTCGCTCACTGTTTGCTTTCGTTGTTTACGGCAGGTGTCAGGTCAACTACACACTTTCACCTCCATCTACTTGTTGTGTTCATCATTCGTTTAGGTCGCGCACTGCTTGCTGCCGACTCAACCAAAATCATCTATCTGGGGTTATGCATCAATTTGAGCCACGCTAGCATACTAAGCCATAGGTCAGATTTGTCGTCTATCCTACTGAATTTCTGAAATTCAGCCTGATCGTTAGATTGGTTCATAAGTCTTGCACCAAATGATAAATCTTTCAATGTTCGAAAAACGACTTGATTTATGTTACATTTTTTCCTCAACATGTAACAAATGCTATTTTATTATGCCTATTAAAATTTTTACAAGTGGAATATCCGAATTCTGAAAAAAGCTTAATCATAGCTAGCTGTAATCATAATCATCCGATCGGCACGAATTCCCTCAGTTAAGAGTAAATCAATCAAAACACAACCAAAAAATCAAATTTTGCTCGGCCTCATGGCATTTTTACCTGCCAAATTTCGAAATAAAACTTGGACTTGTTTGACTATTCTTTCTGTCAGCTTGTATCACCACATACTGACATGGATCTTTGCTTGAAACAACTTTTGAAAGGTTCATGGTTTTCTCTTTCTAAGCTATGTCAAATCAAAGAAGTCTGAACGCGAAAAAAAACTGCGAATTCTGGAAATTTTGGAGCAAAACTTACGGGCCAACCTAAAAATTGTAGTTCAATGTTTGCCGCCATCTGCTTTACTCGCAAGGAAATAATTGATAGAACAGGGAAATTCTCCTTGTCATCCGCTCTAGACAGAAGTACATGCAGACCCTAAGCAGATCCCCAAGGATTGAGGATTAATTTTCGCACAATTATTAAAAGGATGCGATTAATAAGAATCGACATCAACACACACGTCGCAAGATTGAATTATAATTGTTACAAGTGAAATATAAACTTCTTCCTTTTTGACCGTCAGCTATCCTAGTTATACCTGTTTATAAATATTGTTTATTTGCGGAGTGACATCATGAATTTCATCATTTTCATCTCACGTCCTCCTCTTGGAACGGGGAATACATAGCTGTATAGACAATGGCAATGAACAATCTGTTCGATCTATGTTCGATCGCATGCTAATCCTGTCTTCTGTACCTCACTTTTGCGATCAAATGGATGAAAAACTCTATGAGCCCTGACTATGGTCTGTGGAACGGACTCTTTACCCAGCTAGAATCTCAAAACAAAAGAGAACGGCACTTTGGTGATGAACATCAGCAGAGACCAGTTGGCTACCTCGAGAGCTAATTAGGCGTGCTTCAGCCGACGAAGACGACGTATGAGCTCATCTTCGGGTGCAGCGTCAAGTGTCGGCGATGCTTCTTTGTCCCACATCTGCGCCGCCGCTCTTCGTGTGTCCGTAATGTCGACGATGCAGTTCAAGGACAGGTCACACTGTCTTCTAACTAGCCAATTAGCACTCTCTTATCGCGTTGTTGTCGTGCATCACTTACATCGTATCCTTAGCTTTCGATAGCTTAGTCTAGACTGCGATATGTTACCCTGGTGGTAGTGGAAATTTTCCCGCATTTTCCGTATGGTAGGTATAGAGACTTCAAGTTTTTCATCCGGAAACGTTTGCTTTCTCATGCATGTGCGGCAGTGCATCTGCGTTGAAATCTTATTATCTGAACTGTTCATTGGCTGTTCTATGTACTCGCTATCTCAAATCTCAAAAATATAGAGCAAGACTTTATCTCCATCTGTACAGGATAACTGATCACCGCTTTTATATTTCTCTTGTTACCTCTCCTTTTTTAGTAATCGTTACTAATGATTGTGAAGAAGTAACCATCGTTACGCGGATTTTGTATCCAAATGAAGGTACGGATTGGAATCCTGATCCCTACAGGCGATTGATGACAAAAAATCACTACGTTGGAAATGCAGAAACTATGATCTTTGGAAGTGAGTATCGGATATCTGACTCACACGAACCAAATGCTCAGTGCTGATGAGCTTATCTGAAAGTCGCCAGTAGCAGCTTTATTGCTCTCTGTTCAAAAACTCGCATTTTGAATTCTGTGCTGCACATGTTGTCAATGTAAACTGGTTTCGCAGCTTAAGAAAACTTTCCTATTCCACCGATCTATCCTCTGCTTGATTTCCATGAGCTTAAATGCATTCTGTCCATGATGGTATTTCTAGAATGAGCCCTGTCGTATGTTTTCCATCACTTTCTCCCTTTCGGACATCCCGAATTTGCCGTTCCTTGCGCGGCTAAGTGTATGCGGCCGCTGACTTAAGCCGGTATGCTCGACGTTCCGGATTCTCGCGAAGAGGATGCAACCCGGGTCACTCGGTCGTGAACTTGATAGCCGGTATTCGGACTTCTCCAGCGCTGCACATGTTTTCCCTTCCCGCTCGCTACCCCCCCCCCCCCTTGCCTGCGATGTCCGTTCGGCAGTTCATCGCAGGTTCGTGTCCGGCATTTCGACGCTGTATGCGCACTTTCGCTACGATCCGCTAATTTTCTACCGCGCTCGCGTGCTCTTCTTTTCGGTTTTCCCTATTTTTCAACTTTCTCTAACTATGTTGAGTAGAAGAACGCATCACTCAATCACGGCTACCTGGTCGTGTGTCTGCTTTGAGCTTAAAAACTAGTTGGTGATGTCAAAATAATAAGCGATAGTTTGCAGCTGTTTTATCTGTAGCACCGATATCTGCGTGACTGGGCAACACATATGCGGGATCTAAGTCACATTCATTCTTTTCGTTGAGCCTATTTCATGTTGTGTCTATCACGTATTTTATTGCGTAACATAACTAACTCCGAGTTTTTTATTACTGAAAATTACAAATTCGGGCCTTGCTATCAATTGGCTTACGACTATCTTTTCTTTTCTGCTATCCAGTCCCTTCAAAGAGAGAAGACTTTTTTGGCCGAGGGTTCAACATCGAAAAAGGGTAACGGCTTTCGGAGGACCTTGGACTGGTCAGTCGCATGAACAAACAGCTCAATAGTCTGTCTTTCTCCCTCTGCACAACTCAGAGTCAACAGTTCTATCCCGGACAACTTTTTCCGTATACCTGCAAACATCCACATACCATGGCCGACTGTCTATTCGAGGATTCGCTCCCTCAAATCGGCGGACAATGGCCAGTCTATTTTTGTAACCCGCCGGAGGCACGCTGCGCACAGATTTACGCTGCGGTCCTCGCCACACACCGCAAACGTTCCGTTGTTTACTTAGCGACGACGAAAATAGCAACACACAGCCCTCTTTTCTGCATGGATGAACTGGACCCCGTCCATCGCGAACGCACAATGCCCCTGAGGGCGGCGGTGCGGTCAGTTTTCCTTGTTCTCTCAACTATCGCACTACCGTACGGTACCGGTGCCCCATCAGTCAACATACCAATGTTAGTTCGCAGAGTTTTGGCTAACTCGGATTTTCTGGGTGGGCTAAATATGAACCATCATAGACTAAATCTTATCTGATGTTTTTTCACCCACACTTGCAGAAGTTTCTGACATCACATCAAGTCATTCTCCTTCCTAATGATTGCTTTTATACAGCTAACCACCCCTCTTTTGTAATTTGACTCACTATAGTTTCGAGATTTTTAGAGTTTGCTCTTACTCTATGTCCAGAATTTTTCTACTTACTAACACCCAAACCCTATATGTTGAGATTACGATCATTATGTGTTGAGAAGCTAGTCTATATTAGAAAGTGGAAATGGAGTGCGGAAGTAAGACAGATAAAAATTTCGATAAGCAAACAGAAACTAACTAGACTGTGACAGAACGGACATCTTTCAGGGTTTCAAGAAGCCTTTTGTCCATGAGTAAATTGAAATCACCATCGCCGTTATTATTTCCTTCACCACTTTACTCATCATCAAGCAAAAGATAACGTCTTTCATTGGCTCTCTTCGGCAGTTACTAATTATTACAGATTCAAACAAATTTTTCATGCTTTGCTTTATGCGCATTGTTCGCATTGAAAACACAGTCACAACAAAAGCCCTTATTGAGCATGCCGTAGATACTAGTTTCTACACTGACGATTCAGGTCTCGAAACTGGGTCAACACAACGTTATAATGCGCTTTACGCTGTTAGTCGATGTTGCAGCCGTCAGGCATCCGAATATTTCGTTTTGATAGTGCACAAAGTAGTCAGACTCATATCATAGAGCAGCTGCTCATGTATTTTTTTGTCTAACGGATCTGCGAGATTAGCAGTGATCTCTTCTTGGCTCATAGACGTGCCCAATACGGCGTAAATGACTTGACGCAAAAAATGCAAAAAACACAAGCATACCATGCTCACAACTCAAGCATAACCATGCTTGCACCCGGGAATCTTTACATAAAGCAACACTCAAGGATCATCTTCGTTTCTTATCAATGTTACTGAACCCTCATTGCAGTTTCTTGAAGTTAACCATGCAAATTGGCGAAGCGAAGGCGTGCCGTGAACAAGGACGTGGACGTTCGAAAACGAGAGTCGGGGTGGGAGCTGACCTATTCGGTCTCTGAAACTCGCACGGAACGTCATCCTGGAGACGTCGATCGCCGTCTCCGTGATCGCACTGTTCCCTCCGTGGTCGATCGCTCCGCTATCCGGGCTCGACAACAGGTTTCATCGTTGAAATGGAAATCGCCGCGGTCACTTCTGGCTGTGTGTGTTGGTTGGCCAGCGCCCTGGCCGGTTTCGGACATGTAGGTCGACCCCTAGGGGGAGCGCATCCGGGTGCGGGTAATTGCCCCCTGCCTTTTGATGCTCCCACTCCCTTCTCAGCGCTGGGCTTCGCAACAAGAAGCGTCTCAACTCAATCTCAATTTTTCAATTCCTCACATACTCATCGTCTTTGATTTTTATGTCGAACTTCCGTTTTCTTCAGTGGACGTTTCTTTGTCAACTTTTTAAAATAGCTATTCCTTGCTTGTAGATGGATGTCGATTCTTCATCGTCATCGCCATCGGAACGATTGTCCGTTGTATGCTCGGCCTCGGCAGAGTACAGCTCCAACTCTTCTGAGTATTCTCCTAATTCTAGAAGGTATGCTATAGACTGTGACAATTTGAAAAATTATGCAACTTATATTTAGGAATTCCGTGAACGAAAGCGTCCTAAAAGATGACCAATATTGGGACAGGAGACGGAAGAACAATGATGCTTCAAAAAGATCTCGGGAAAAACGGAGAATCAGTGATATGGTCAGTAAACATTAGCGTATATGTAAAAAAAATCTGCTTTTTGCAAATGCAAATTTTTTATTTGCTTCGTTTACTTACAAATCACCTTGTATAAGCGGTGGTATTTTTCATAACTAAATCGTCTCCATTCCCTATCTGCAAAGAGTTTTGTATTTTGAGAACTTCGTCAGAACCTCGAATGTATTCCTTCTACCAAAAATACGCACGCTTTTTCAGTATTCGGTTTTTAGGCTATGGAACAGCGTATCTTAGCACTGTCCCAAGAGAATCATCTACTGAAGTCTCGCTTGGAGTCTCGCACGGCCGCCGAGAGCCTTTTGCAAACGACTCGTCCCGACTTTGCTGCGCTGCCGTCTCAGAGCAACACTGTGCTGCCATCGACGACCAAGGTCAGTGCTCTGGTCCTTCTGGATCGTGCTCAACTTTCTAGCTTCAGACCCTGTTCACACAGCAACTGCCAACTTCATCAGTCGTACCGCTGGCCACTACTTCGCTGTCTTCCTTCCATTCCACAGTGCCGTCTCTTTCACTACCGCAAGTTCCGCTGCTGTCGAGCACCTCCCAACTTCCGATCATGCAACTATGTCAACTGCAAGCCGCCATCCAACAGCAGGTTCGGTTCTTTCCGTCTCGTACGGTGCCGGGAATGAAAAGCCGGTTTGGCATCAGCAGCAATAGCAGCTGTTTGAAACCGTGTATGGATGGCGGAATCGAGGTCATTCGGGCTGCATAAATCGAGCCCCATGCTGCTGATGCTTGGGCTATTTCACGGCATTTCGTATAGCACGCCTTTCTTGCACTCCGATCGCGTCTGGAGCCGCGCGTCTGGGTATCTGCCAAACATTGTTCGCCGCAAGTTTTTCTTTCTAGTATCGTGCCACACCGTCTCCGTCGGTGTTCTCAGTCGGTTCGGCCTTCCAACCTTTTCAAGCCCACAAGGAGTCTGTGATTATGAAAGCCGAACGCTTCAGTCCAGATTCGAGCAGCGATCGTGTCGAGCGTGTGATACAGAGAGGTGAGGCCCACGCATGAGTTACTCTTAGCTTGTATGAGATGCCTCAGGGACTTTAAAGTCAGTTGACATGTATGACATTATTTTTCAGTTCCTTCACCTCAACAGCAGCAGGAGCGAGCGCCATCGCAGTCGTTGCTGGGAGCGCTGCTAGCTTCTCGTCGTACCTCTCCAGCTGTACCGCAGAGCCGTACGGAACATCATAGCCGTTTGGGCAGTCCTCCACGGGTAGGTTTGAGACTCCCGTAGTTCGTGATCGCCGTCCGTGGTGGCTACAAGTGCATGGAAGATTGTAACCATAACCTATGCCTTTGATATTAAAGCTTGACGGAATTTTTTTGCGTCCTGATATATGTCTATGTGATTTTCACCATATCAGCTCTCACCTTCGAAATCCGACTGCGAATCGATTTCCTCGTCAGCATCGCTTTCACCATCTCACTCAAGTGAAGATCACCCAGAGTCCTCAGCCATTAGAAGAGCTCTAGACGGCAACAGTTCTGATGAAAAAAAGGTTCATTGAATGAGAGCTTCTTGCGCCTAAGTTTTCAGTCAGAAAAAATGAACAGAAACTCTATTAATTTCTTAGGAGCAGTACATGGATCGACGACGCCGCAACAATGAAGCAGCAAAGCGCTGTCGTGCCAATCGCCGGGCTGTTTTCGAGTACAGAAGTCGTCGAGTACAAGTATGCAATTCGTACAAATAATATATGTAAAGACCTCAAAGACAGTGACATTTAGCTGTTGGAGAATGAGAACGATCAGCTGAAGGAGGAGATCGCTAAGTTGAAACGGGAGGTCGACCAGTTCAAATCGCTTTTGACCGCTCAGAACATCATGGATACCACTCAATAACACTTGCTTCGATTCGTTCTTGTATGCCTACTGGACAGCTCTAGTAAATCGTCTCGCCTAGTATATCTACCTTCCACTACTTCCTCATAGTCAGTCTAGATTTATCGGTGGTTTTGCGCACTACTGTATTGTTACTGTAGGTCGCTAGAGCGCAAAGTTCGACTAGGTTTAAGTATCTAGCCTTGCCCCCACTTCCTGCTTCCATTCATCCTCTCATCATAAGTCCTTAGCGTATATAAGTTTCGTACCTACACACATCCAGGTAGTGCCGTGTGCCGCTGAGCCAATAATCTTTTATGTTTTACTTTAGTCCTATTGTTTTCCACTGCCAATTTTTTATGTGCAATTATCATATTCTTCCCTTTATTACTAATCAGCTTTACAGTGTTTCTTTGCAGTTGTTATAGTTCGATAAGAATTTTTACTGTGCTGCAGTAGTCTCGTTTTTCTGTCAACAACGACGCTCCTGTGCGGGCTCGTCTGCTTGGGCATGTGGTTTTTACGTACAATTTTTTGCGTAAATAATCCATCGTAAAAGAAGATGACCTTGCTGCATGCTGCGCTCAAAGAAAATGCCACATTTACACAAAAAATCTCGAGGTCGATCGAGTGCATCGCGCGCGTCGACCGGCCATGTCTTGGCTGAAGCGGATTTTTGGCGAACGTCGAAGTAAATGTCGGAGGGCCCCCGGTCAAACTGTATTCGTAATTATCGTTTTGCGCTCCCAGGAAGGTCCTAATGCTTGGCCGAAAACTGGTGCCCCAGATAACAGCGGGCGAAGTTCGTGGAAGTCCAAAATGCATTCAACATTGAGCCCAAATGCACCTTTGATTAGTTCAGAATTCTACATACGGAGTGAACGACTAACTCCTTTTTCTATCATAGTACCGTATCTTATAGTACCTCACCCATGGATGAAAATCGCAGTAACGTTATAGTTGTAACACGATCAGAAGGAGAATGAGCTGGGAAGGATGGTACTACAATATTCACCACTAAAAATATCTTTTTCAATTCAATACTCTATAGCGCATCATTTGCTATTCGCAGGACTAGATTCACTTTTGTCTTCGGGGGAAAAGAAGTATACCTCTCTTGCCACTTGATCGTAGCTATGAGGACTTCTTTTCAGAGTTCATGTATTTATGCAAATGGGCATCGCTTTAGAAACACCCTCTATAGAATAATTCGCCGAAGTTCGAGAATACACTCAACTGTCACGCTAGCTTTGAGCTAGCTTACAAAATGATCAAAATCTCCTAATTATAGTGGTTCTGCGACAGAAATCTCTGATATTAAGAAAGCAGAGCAATTGTAACTGCCGGGGGTGAGACACAAGGAACCACAGGCTAGCGAGAACTGCAATAAATAATTCGGCGCTGACCTAGAGAACCTGGACTGAACAATTAGATGTTAAGGAAACATTTGTCTGTGAACCGAAATAATCGAGTAAAATAGCCTTGTGAAACGCAATAAATGCTCAGAAAGCGATAGCATCGTATGAGATATGATCACATCATGCGCTCTTGACAATTCTTATCAAAACTTCTCTTTCCTGACAGAAGAGTCAAAAGTAATAAGACTTCACACCTCTTGTTTACATCATTGTCGCAAGTTTTCCAGTACTGACAGGCAAGTGCTCTAGACAGTACTGACCGTTTTTCTTCCTCATTTGAGCAGCACCTGCAGTTTCCAACTAAATTTTGCGATGGTGAAATAATCGCGGTAATTGTGAACTGAAGGTCTTCTCGACGATTTTGAAGGACATGATGCATTTTTGTCTCAAGCAATTATAGAAACACGAGGGCTTACGGAAAACTATTTTGAAAAGCCCTGAAAGACTTGCCAATGCAGACTTGGAAAGGTAGCAATTTACGGCCTCGGAGGGCAGAGGGCTTGGTTGGCCTAGGGGCGGGATCGAACCTGGGTCCGATCTAGCTGCGCCTCATATCACTGCGCCCTCGTCCTCTTCCCCCCTCCCCTCCCTCACGAGAGATTCATTGCAAGAAAATATGTTACGTGGTGCTAATTTCGAATCTGTAGACGTACATTTGACTAAAGCTCGTATGCACGTACGTCCCTCCGAGGGCGGCCAGGAAGCTACGAGGAGGCGCTTCCTATTTTGATGCTTAAGTTTGTGTATTCTGATTGCCTATCCAAGCCAGAGAGCTTTATCAAAGCAGAGCCATAGTGCTTCTTTGCATCATTGAGCTCCGCAGCGTGAGCTCGCAGAAAGTTAAATGAGTGTCGATAAATGGCAAGGACCTCCCGACCCCATAAATTTTCATGAGATCCCTGTATTCTACGTACCTTTTCCAACTATTCCTGCCAGAAGTGACGCACATCTGTCTAACTTATCCAAGACTTTCTTCATCTCGGCAAGAAAACAGAATAGTCAAGCATTGTACGTAACTATGAAAACGATTTATAGAAAGAATTGAAAATAATTGTGGGAGCTGAAAGTGAACCTGTTGTGTCCGATAACAAAATCAAAATCTCAGCTTATAGTTTTTCTAATTAAGCTTTATTCACATTAAGTAAGAAAGCCGTCTATTTGCATATGTACAAGTTGAGAGGACATCACAAACTGGTGTAGCAGACTCTCCCCTCAGGCAAATCTCACTGAGTAGAATTTGACTAGTAATTGTTGTTTTCTTTCTTTTCTCCTCCTTGCGTAACATCATTGTTATTCTCCTCGACTTGCTCAGCTGGCATCTGTGAAAGAATTGTTTAAATAAAAGAAAAAACAAGGTAGCGCTCCTATGCAAAACGATCATAAGTGATAGTATCAGTGTACAGACTTTGATGAGTTCAATAATGAGCCTTTACGTTAGTTTTATTAGTAAGCATCACTGCTGAGCCAATCGTTGGAAAAGGAGCGAATGCGCTTCCTTAATGTATGTCAGTGCCAGTTACTCTCTCGAAATAGATAAAATCTGCAATTTCTACATAGGCTAGAATCTTTCTCCCAGAGGATGCGCAAGAATGCTGTATTACTGAAATTTGCTGTTTACCACTACTCTCATGCGTTTAGAAAGATTCTGAGGAAGATGTACTGTTCAAAGTGGACTATCAAAGTGCATCAACTTTGACTCAACCTAAGCGTAAAAGCGCTGAAACAAAAAAAATGCAAACCCACATGCTCCGCGGTCATCTTCTGCTGTGGCGATGACTTAGAGGTGGGCAATCTCTCCAATGGTTTAAGCGTCAGGATCAAGCCAACGACAAATGTTATAAGGTAGCAGTAAAATCCCTCGTGAAGAGATGAGAAGAGCCTTTGTTTGAGCTGAAAAAAGGGCCTTACAATTTTTGAACGCAATGTTTATATCAAGCAACTTATTTCGCTACTCACAATCAATACAATGTGCATAATGAAGAAGTAAGGCTATTACCAAGGCGACTTTCGAGATAAAAATACAGGGTTCCCAAAAAAATGTATCGAACGTTTAATCGTTAATATCTCTCTTCTAAAAAAGTCTTTTCTCTTGCTTCAGGTACCAATCTGCAGAGCTGGCTTCAACTTAGATTTGCATTATAAAACGAATCACTTATTTCTCTTCATTACTGTAGGATTACGGTAGAAACTTCAAAGAGGGTTTTAAGCAATGAAAGGCCATATTTTGCCTCAGAAAGGAATCAAAACAGCCTGAAAACTTTTACACTAGGCCATTTAGAGTTGCTGATTCTAATTGTAAAGTTCTCAACTTATTATAGTGCTTCAGTGAAGAGTTATGGTAGAGAGGCAGCGGCCGTTTTTTCAATGTTCTTAAAAAGTGCGATTACACCGTTTAAAAAGCTTCGTAATCATGTGAATAGTTGATTATTGAACTCAGCGTCCATAAAAACCCTATTACACAAGTTTTCACAATTTTTTGAAAAATTTTGGAACGGCAGCTTTTTCCACATTGACACCATTTGTTTTAAGTTTCTACCGTAATGTTACAGTAATGAAGACAGATGGGTGATTCGTTCACTAAAGCAAATCTAAGTTGAAGCCAGCTCTACAAAACGATACCTGAAGCAAGGCAAAGTTCTTGGGAAGAGAGATATTAACGATCAACGTTCGATACATTTTTTTGGGACACCCTGTAACATGTACTGTACCTGAAGTGCTCGAACAAACCCTGCCAAGACTCCTACACATGTGCTAAGCTGAAATAGTTTCCAGACGTTTTGGGGCTTGCCGGATGCAAAACCAGAGAATCTAAAAAACGTATTGCATCGAAATGTACTTTGGAATCACAGGTGTATGTGTTTTGCAAATCTCACATTAGCAGCGTCGTGATCGCAAGAACTTTCGCTGCCATAAGACATAGACGTTCTCTGTTGCCAACCTAAACGAAACATCTCATTAAAGATCATCGAACAATATCATTCCGAAGTTTGCTCGGGACATATGAGTGGTAGAGGCTCCATGTGGACATCATCTTTTGCTTGTCACCACGACTCTACAGCTTTTGCGTATAACGGGCGTCGTAACGTCGCAGCAGTTTTTGCTTAACTCTTTTTTTACTTCAAAGCACTCCGCATTAGGTCTCTTAGCTGGATTATCCAGATCTTTTTAGCATATCTAAACATTTTCTACCCAATTCCATAGTGGAGTGTTTAGTTGCACAAAACATCCAAGAATTGGTACACATGTGCATCTTCTCTCGCCACCCCCCCCCCCACCCATCCTGTTCTTTCCTTCCCCCGCAATCCCTTTCACAGTACGAACTTCGAAAATCACAGACCTGTTCTAGTTGGTGATAAACGATAGCACCGGCCGATTTGTCGGACATATCAAGATCAATCGGTAAGTTTAGCGACCAGATATAACCGTGCATCCAGACGCTGCTGAATAAGAAGTCGAAGAGATGTATGGTAGCGAAGATGGACACCGAAATACGGTATGCGAATGCAAGTATCTTCCTGATCCTTTGCTCAAAAGGTGAAATTGTTGACGGGTCTTCAGGTTCCAAAATGCGAACACGAGCTAGGCGCTGCATCTGGAATCATATCAACATATTATGTTGTCTCGAAAGTTTTGTCCAATTTTTCAAACTACTATAAAATCACGCACAATAAAGACCTGAATGAGTTTCAAATGCATTCGATGCAGCTTTCCCTTCTCTTTCTTATGAATACATTTTCCAACCATAACCTTATATGATTTTTTTGATTATCGCCAAAATTCTCCACCCGTCAATTTAATCTGCTTAAAGTTGGGCTGACTTTGAAGATTTCTCCCGAAGTTTCGGGACAGGTTGAGTATGGATTAATAGACCAATTCTCTGACCACAAGCTAAAATTTTTAGGTTCTTCTAATCTGCTGTTTTTAGTTTCAAGAAATTATTTATTTGGGAGGTCTCGATTTTTGACCAAGTCATGAAACACCCAACTGCAGCAAATACACGAAAGCTTTGAAGTTTCTGTGAATTAAAACTGATTCTTTCTAAGTATTTAGCATAATCAAGTTTGATTTCCCGTGAAAAAGCAGCTTTTGCGGAATTTTTGGTGATTTTACGTGGTAAACATAATCAAAAAGCCGCGTTTTTTAATGAATGAATAATTATAACGGACTTGGTAAACTTGACCTATGTAACTTAAAATGGGGACAATATAGCCAAATGTTTGCTCTACAACAGTTACCAGCGCTTTTTGAAAACATCGGAATTTTTAAAATTCAGAAAGATTTGGCGTTACTGCTGAGTTGCTTAAAAAGCCATGGCCGTAACATTGAAAAGACAGCGTAGATCAGAGAGCAAATCTGGCTTTAAGAAAGAGGATAAAATTCTGAATCAAATGGTGCCTAAGTCATTCATGGATTGATGTTCTGTGAGTTTTAGTGAGCAATGAAAAAAACGAACAAAACTTTCGGGGCAACCTAATAGTTAAGTAGTTACTAAAGTGCCCAAACGATTCAATCTGTATATCAGTTGTAAGGGTAGCAACCTTTTTATGCGATTACTTGCTTCCATTACGAATGATAAGAATGTCTTTCGGGTAAAATACTTTGTGGTTCTGTGCAGATTTTTCCCGTTGAATAGTACAATAAGCACTGGCTAACATTCTAGCAAGCACTCGAAATGTTAGCTTAGTATCAAGGATAAAGTTCTGAATAGAAGCTTGAAATGATGTTTGATTCAGCTTCGACTGTTTCGAGCAAGATTGCATTGCCAAATCTGGGACGTTGCAATCGGATACGAAAAGGCAAATTCTGACCTTGTAACGTACTTTTTCCACTGAACAGTGTTTTTGCTAACCTCAAAAAGAGGCATATGTGCCTCCGTGAGTAAATTGATAGCGTTCGCTTATGCATATCTATCGTAGTACCCCACCATACATCAGAGAGTAGGATTTGTATTCTTGAATGACACGGCAACTTATCAAGAATTTGAAAGCAATATCCTGATTTTCAGGTGAAAGCAGAATGGTAGACATGGACTCAATTCTATCAGGAATGGAACTGCAAGAGGGAAAGCAGTATAAACGTCGCGAACAGTTCGATAGACACTGACTGGGCGAATCCTTGACCCCGATGATCGCGCAACGCCGTACCGCAATTGAGGCTGAAAAATGGACCACACAAGCTTTGCTGAGGGTCTAGCAACTCTAACACGTGGAAGGGCTGTAATGTAACTTTTAAAAAAATTGAATCGGGATGGTGATAGGCAGCGTAGTCAACGTTTATAACCTTTGTGTCACTGAAAACAAAAGTGGTTGAGTAGCTCCACTCCTCTCTCCCAGCTGTATTGGAGAATTTGTCTCACTACGAGGATGGAGATATGCGAAGTAGGTGCGAGAAAGGTGCGAAGAATAGGTGCGAGGTCCCCAATCGTACGAAAAGTTCCCCTCCCCTGGAAACGTTAAATCAGAAGTAATAATTCATTTCTCTAAGAATGATACAATATATCCTAGTATGTTTCCAAACGCAACTAATGGCATTAACAACTTAACGTTAAGTTTTTCTTTGTAGCTATTTCTGTCTGATTTGAATACTTTGACAGAAAGCAGGAAATTCTCAGCGTGTCAGCTGCAGACCCCTTGTCGACAATGAGGTACTAAAAAATGAATCACTTGCAATATATAAAGGAATGAGATTCATACGTGCACATGGCTTAGCACAGGATGGTAGATTTCTGGAAGATCTAAGACAAAAAGCTCTTGGATTAGCCAAAAGTTATGACATGCCCTTTAATGTTTATACTTTAGCTCTAAACAATCCGCAGCGAACTACAAATACAAGGAAGTATGAAAAACCGATTAGCAATACGAAGCGAAAGGCAGAGAAACGTGAAGGGGGGGGGGGGGGTTCTTGTGCAAGGCCTTATCTGATTGTGGCAGTGAGGGGGGGGGGGTGTCCGACAAAATTTTTTTCTGATTTCCGAAAAAATTTTTGGGCATTCTATTGAGCACACACTGCATAGTTAGAAGCGGTAGAGAAAAATTACTCAAATTTTCAAATTTCTGTGTAGGGTCATAAAAAATCCGAAAATTGCAGTAAAAATCAGAGCTCTCAGAGATATAGGTTCTTTTACCTGCTTTTTCTAATTGTGCAAGGTATGCGCTGATTGAGCGTCTCTATAAACAGTTATGATTTTCGAGCAAGTGATGCAAAAGTGGAGATTTGATTTATCTTGGCAATTTTTTCGAAAATCATAACTTTTCATAGAGACGATCAATCACCGCAAACTTTGCATAGTTAGAAAGAGCAGCTAATAGAAATTATAATACTGACATCTCCGATTTTTACTGCAAGTTGCAGATTTTTTATGATCCCACACAGAAAAGAAAAAAATTGACTAGTTTTCTTCACCGCTTCTATGCAATGTGTGCTTAACAGAAAGCCGCTAAGGTACCTCTATGAAGATAATGCTCTTTCATAAAAAATGAAAAAACAAATCAGTTCAAAAAACCCAAGTTATGAATTTTTGAATGTGGTGCGACAGAACTCGGACCAATCTAACATTAGAAAAAGGGGGCCCGAAAAATTTCTTTTTACAAGGCTAAATCGAATTTCTTGATAATTTCAAATATCATTTTAATTATTTACAATTATACAATACCGCTCACATTTTTTGAAAAATAGATGCGAATGTATGGACATGTATGGACATGTACGGACATGTCCATACATGTCCATACATGTCCATACATTCGCGTCTATTTTTCAAAAAATGTGAGCGGTATTGTACACAAGTCACTTGCACATTCTTATAACCCATATAAGTAACTTTCAAAAATTTCGCGACCCACTCTCGGGGGGGGGGGGTCGTCCCCCCCCTTCTGACCGCCACTGCTGTTGCGTAATAGCAGTGGTAGTTAGATCTTGAGCTGAAGTAAATCTGTGCAATTTTTTCTGATGAAATGTCCCTTGTGCATTCCTCTAGCCTGCTTATTCGCCTTTTAGCTATTGTACGCTTGCTGTGTGCGAAACACCAAGAATCAGTCTCCGCAGAGTTCTCACCGGTTGATTGCTGACGTTCGCCATCTGATAGGCTGGGAATTTGCTACAAGCTTCCATTATACGAGGATTCGCACATAGCGCACAGCAGTACCTAGCTAGGTTTCTATGTGATGCAGTCTTCAAATTTTCTGTGCAGTTGTTTATTCATTCATTTTTAACTTTCTTCCTGTTTGCACGACCCGTGTGGACCGTGTGGCGTTGGAATCCAACCTATTAACAACATGTAATCCTTTCTCCATTTCCTCCTTCGTTTGGTTTTGTTCATTTGATACGGAGGCACTATAAATAGGTACCGACTTTGCGTATTTCAAAACGTCCATAATTCTTAACATAGGTCGGTATGAAACTGCTTGGAAATCCTGTGATTCACTGTAGTTATTTTTCTTCCTTTTGAGATTAGCTTATATTCACACGAGTGCATAGCCTGCATAACGCTCAAGGGTTTATTCAATGCATGTTGAGCCTATTACTAACAATCAGTAGCCAAGTAGATAATCAAGGTTGAGCAATAGCCGTTGCTCTGTAAAAATAATCGTTGAGCTTGTTTGGTATTGCCAGATTGTTACCAGTCATATCAGCTGCTCATCGCTTATATTTTAGCAAGTCAGTCGAAGGAGAAATCCAAGTTTGAAATTATGATTAGGGGTGAGCAAGAGATGTGGCAGAACCGCCAACCGCCCCATACGACCCCCACCCCTCGCCCTAAGTTCTATCTCAATGCCCCCTCCTTATCGTTTGCTTACCAGAGGCATGATATAAAGACTCTACCAATCATGATCAGTAAAATTTTCGTAATCAGGTTGTCAAATAACCCATGTGGGCCAAGTTCTGGCGAATTTTGAGGGCTCCCAATATTGGGTTACCTAAGTAAAGCTATCATTTCCAAACATGGCTAACTATTATATTTAAAGTGAATTAGTTAGCTCTTTCCAAACTCAATACAAAGATTACTCCCTATTTGTCCATACCACAAACCCTACTTCACATAACCATCAAACTATGGAATCAAGGGCCAGCCAAAACCTTATTTGTCCTAGTTTTCGCTTACAGTGCTTCCAGCATCTATTGCTCAAAGGAAAGAAGGCGACTTGAGCTCTAATCAATTCTACGGACGAGATTTTGGATATTGAACTGCGTATATTTTGTTGGCTAAATTTCTCTTTGGAGGTGAGTTGACGGCGTGTGGCACAACCTCGGAAAAGCTGTGGCTGCTACACCTTTTTAAGGTGAGCCACACCTTATTGAATTACCTTCAGTGTACTCAAATATCTGTGTTTATTGTTGTCACTGCCAAATCTTCTTCTCTACAAAAGGAGAACTTTCAGAGCATTCAAATATCTGTCTTTGTTATATTGTTGCCACTACACAACCGCCTTCTCCAAAACAGGAACTTATTTGAAATTGTTCCTCCTAGGGGAAGAATTTTCCTTATCTATGCAAGCGGAAAACACTGCGAAAATATTGGATTACGGTAACAAGCAAGCTAAGTCTGCGCTACTGCGTAAATCGCTAGTGAAAGCAGCAAAAATATATGTACTC